ATTCACTACTGGTATTTAAACACACACACACACATACACATACACTACGTATGAAGTCACACGTTTATATAGACGTACCCAACACTTATATTCTGTCTGTCTGTCTGTCTGTCTGTCTGTCTGTCTGTCTGTCTGTCTGTCTGTCTGTCTGTCTGTCTGTCTGTCTGTCTGTCTGTCTGTCTGTCTGTCTGTCTGTCTGTCTGTCTGTCTGTCTGTCTGTCTGTCTGTCTGTCTGTCTGTCTGTCTGTCTGTCTGTCTGTGTGCGTGCGTGCGTGTGTGTGTGTGTGTCTGTGTGTGTGTCTGTGTGTGTGTGTGTGTCTGTGTGTGTGTGTGTAGGTAGGTAGGTAGCTAGGTAGCTAGGTAGGTAGGTAGGTAAGTATGTGTGTGTTTATGTGTGTGTGTTTGTGTATGTATGTATGTGTGTATGTGTGTGTGTATGTTTGTATGTATGTGTGTATGTATGTATGTGTGTATGTATGTGTGTGTATGTGTGTGTATGTGTGAGTATGTGTGTGTGTATGTGTGTGCATGTGTGTGTGTATGTGTGTGTGTATGGATGGAAGGATTGATGCATGTCTGTCTGTCTGTCTGTCTGTCTGTCTGTCTGTCTGTCTGTCTGTCTGTCTGTCTGTCTGTCTGTCTGTCTGTCTGTCTGTCTGTCTGTCTGTCTGTCTGTCTGTCTGTCTGTCTGTCTGTCTGTCTGTCTGTCTGTCTGTCTGGATGGATGGATGGATGGATGCATGCATAGACAAATTTTTTATACGTTTTTACGTAAGTACGTACGTACGTACGTACGTATGTATGTATGTATGTATGTATGTATGTATGTATGTATGTATGTATGTATGTATGTATGTATGTATGTATGTATGTATGTATGTATGTATGTATGTATGTATGTATGTATGTATGTATGTATGTATGTATGCCTGTCTGTCTGTCTGTCTGTCTGTCTGTCTGTCTGTCTGTCTGTATGTATGTATGTATGTATGTATGGATGGATGGATGGATGGATGGATGGATGGATGGATGGATGGATGGATGGATGGATGGATGGATGGATGGATGGATGGATGGATGGATGGATGGATGGATGGATGCATGCATGCATGGATGCATGCATGGATGGATGCATGCATGGATGGATGCATGCATGGATGCATGGATGCATCCATCCATTGCATGCATCCATCCATGCATGGATGCATGGATGGATGGATGCATGATGCATGGATGGGATTTGGGGGATGCTGGATGGATGGATGCATTGATGCATGGTTGGATGGATGCATTTGATGGATAGTTTAAGAAGAACAAACGATTAACGAATAAAGATTTTGTCTAATCAACAATTTATTAACGTTATACAAGGTCCAAAAATAAAGTAATGAGACTAATTTCGCAACAACAACAACAACAACAAATAATAATAATCAACAGTTGAAGATATAACCTGTATTTCATTCGATGTAAGCCCCTTGTGCATTGATAGAGTGAGTAGCACGATCTAACAAACACTGAAACTGTCTGTGCATTTCTTCGGTTGCTATGGCCCTTAAAGTCGATGTTACAGCCCTTTGTTTGTCATCAGTAGTGTCAAAGAAGCGTCCTTTCAATGGTAACTTTAATTTTAGGAATAGAAAATAATCGCAGGGAACATAAACTTGTTTTGGGTCCAAAAATTCCTTTTTTGATGATGTCTCATGGGTACTCAACCCGCTGATGTTTTTGGTCATCAGACAACAAATGCGGTACAAACCTGCAAGCAACTTTTTTCCTACCAAAATCTTGCATTACAATTTTACGATGGGTCTCTGTATTAACACTAGATTCATCAGCCGTCATCCTGTCAGTAAAACAACGATCTTCTGGT